GGTGCTGCCACTGCACCTTTACCAGCTACACTCTTTTTTTCCTCAGATCCATCGACTTCCTATCAAGGATCACCGCTGGCCACTCGATGTAGTTCAGGCTGCCATCAACCTGAATATCTTCTAAAGGCACCACTGCCAAATCGTCTACCAGACATTTCCGCAACTGGGAGACATGTAAAGTGTTGTGAATCTAACTGAGTTCGGCTGGCACGTCCAGCCTATGTTCCACCTTGCCCACTCGGGCCACGACTCTGAAGGGTCCAATATTCCTGGGGCCCAGCTTGCCACGCTTCCTGAATCGAATTGAGCCCTTCCATGGTGACACCTTCAGGAGTACCATATCCCCGACCTGGAACTCCAGGTCCGATTGTCGCTTGTCGGTATAACTTTTATGCCGACTCTGAGCAGTCTGAAGTCTGCTCCGAACCTGTTGTATCCTCTCTGTATTCTTGAGTACAACCTCGGTACTCCCTATGACCCTCTGACCAACCTAACCCCAACATATCGGGGTCCTGAACTTCCTCCCATACAACATCTCAAAATCACTGAGACTGGCACTCCGTGCTGAGCTAGTACCTCCGTGCTGAGCTAGTACCTCTCGAATGTAAATATCGGCCAACTTCTCGGCTGAGATGATTTCCTGGATCAGTATGAAATGGGCACTCTTGGTCAACCGATCCAGGATGACCCAAATCGAATCCACCCCCCTAATAGTCCTGGGAAGCTTTCTGATGTAATCCATAGTGATATCCTCCCATTTCCACAGCGGAATATCCAACGGCTGGATCTTGCCATGAGGTCTCTGGTGCTCTGCCTTGACCTTCCTGCAAGTCAGGCATCTCTCCACAAACCATGCTACGTCGATCTTCATACAGGGCCACCAACAATCAGGATGAAGATCCTTGTACATCTTTGTCACCCCAGGATGGATGGAAAACCTGGATTTGTGTGCCTCCTCCATCAATACCTGGTGCACACCTCCATGATATGGGACCCACACCCTACGGTAAATGGTACAACGAACCCCATAGAGGTGATGACGCCAAAACTTGAGGGCGAAAACAACAAACCCAGCTCCAAATCATGCGTCGGATAGTTCGCCTCGTGAGGCTTCAACTGCCTTGAAGTATAAGCGATGACATGACCACTCTGCATCAATACCACGCCCAAACCCGAGATGGACGCATCGCAATATACTACAAAATTCTCCATGCCCTCCAGCGGGGCTAAGATTGGCGCCACACACAATCTCTGTCACAACGACTCAAATGCGGCCTGATGCTCAGGCCCCCAGTGAAAGACCACGATTTTCCTCGTCAACTGGGTCAGAGGCACATCTATCTTGGAGAAGTCCTTAATGAATCTCCGATAATATCATGCCAGTCCCAGAAAGCTCTGAATCTCAGATGGAGACCTCGGAACCTCCCACCTCATCATGGCCTCTACCTTGGTCGGGTCAACCGAAATCCTGTTCTGGTTGACAAGGTGCCCAAGAAACATCACCTCGCGCAAGCAGAACTCGCACTTGGAGAACTTAGCACACAAGCTCTCCCTCCCTAAAGTATCCAAAACCTCCCGCAAGTGATCCTCATGTTGCTCGTGTGTCTTCGAATAAACAAAGATGTTGTCAATGAAAACAATCACAGACCTATCCAACATTGGCCTACACACGCGGTTCATGAGATCCTTGAATGCGGCAGGAGCATTGGTGAGCCCAAAAGGCATCACCACAAACTCATAGTGACCATATCGCGTCCGAAAAGCAACATTCAGTACATCCTCCTCTCTGACTCTCATCTGATGATAGCCCGAATGCAAATCAATCTTGGAGAACCAAGATGCTCCCTGAAGCTGGTCAAAGAGATCATCAATCCTCGGGAGTGGGTAATGGTTCTTCACCGTTACCTTATTCAGCTCCCGGTAATCTATACACATCCGATGCAACCTGTCCTTCTTTTTCACAAATAAAATTGGGGCTCCCCAGGGTGAACTGCTCGGTCTAATGAATCCCTTGTCTAACAGCTCCTACAGTTGTATAGACAACTCTTTCATCTCTGGAGGAGCCAACTGATACGATGCCTTGGCTATCGGAGCCGCACGAGGGACTAGGTCGATCCTAAACTCTACCTGCCTCTCCGGAGGTATCCTAGGCAACTCCTCGGGGAATACATCTGCAAACTCTCGCACCACTGGCACATCGCCCACCATCGCCTTACCCGTCTCCCGGGTATCCATAACATAGGCGACACATCATGTGCAACCCTGCTGGAGGTAGCGCCTAGCCCACATTGTTGAACATAAGGTTGGTCCTCGTTGTGGCCTCTCGCCCTGAATCACCAAATCTCCCCTACTTGGGGTCCTGATCCGCACCAACTGCCGTGCGCAGTTGATCACCGCCCCATTGGGGCTTAGTCAATCTATGCCTGTATTAACCCGGTTCCCCCGCAAAGGTATGGGAACCAAGTCAATCAGGTAGCGCTCCTTGAACAGTCTCAAAGTATAATTTTTGAAAACCTCTGATGCTCGCACTGACCGGTCGTCCGCAATCTCGACCTCTAGAGGGAAATCCAACATGTCCGAGGACTCAAGAAACCTGTTTCTAAGCGCAAGAGAGACAAACGATCAGGTAGCACCTGAATCAAACAATATCTGTACTAGGATACCATTCACATGGAATGATCCTAAACAGAGCACATGTATATAATATATCAAAATCATAGCGACATAACATAAAAGATTTGAGAGAAGAAATCATACCCGTCACCACATCGGGTGCGGCGCGTGCCTCTTCAGCTGTCAACTGAAATGCTCGGCTTCGCACCATTGGAGCCTCTATCTTGACCTTCCGGCCATCTGCAACTCGTGATGTCGCTGGGGTCGGCGCGACCATTGGCACTGCTGCTGATGCGGCTGACAATCTAGGGCAGTTGGCCTTTTTATGGACCCTTTGATTGCAATGGAAACAAATCAGGTCTGATGTATGAACTATGGGGGCGGGGTCAGTACAATCCCTATCAAAGTGCCCCATCTTTCCAATCTTGTAACAGCCTGACGATCCCGCTCTACAAGCTCCCTCATGCGGCCTGCCGCATTTCCTGTAGCGGCTCTGGACCGGCTGGCCCTTCGACCCAACATCGGATCCCTTGGGTTTCTTCTCTGAAACCCCCGTAACCTGCTCAGCCTCTGTCTTCCTCTTCTTGAGGTGCTCCAAATCAATCTCCCTCTCCCGCACCCTGAAAATCATGGACTCTAGGGTTGTGCAAGCTGAATAGCTGTCACGCTCCCGAATATCAGCATATTGCGGTACCAACAAAGCCCTCCCCCTGAACTTGGCTATGATCTCTGCCACTGTCTTGGCCGTCTGTCTCATGTCAAGAAACTCTCTGGCCAGCTGCTGAAGCTCCACAGTTGGCGCAAACTCAATCTTGAACCTGGTCACGAAATATTACCAAGCCATAGCCTCGATGGTTGGGGCTCCCAGTGAGTCACCGACTGACTCCCACCAATCCCTATCTCTATCCCTCAAACAAAAAACAGCAAAGCCGGCCTTCGACCCCTCTGGGCAGAAGCTCGTCAACAGCGCAGACTTAATGTCTGTGATCCATCTCCTGGCAGCAATGGGTTCCTTCACCCCGTGAAAGTATGGCGCACCACTCCCCCATGTGCCATCCCTTAAAAGATTTGAAATGAATATTATACCCTTTTTATTATTTTTTGATTTATTTATTTTTCTTTAAATTATTTTTAATATAAAAAAATAAAATAAAAAAACCCATGTATCTTATTCTAAATCCTCTTTCACCAAATCTTTAACAAATAAACCTACAACATCGTGAAGCTTTTGTGTAATCATGAAACTGACGACCGATTGAGGGTACACATGAGTGATGTGCAACAGACCGAACTTCCACGTTACTGAAGCAAACCATTGACTAATCAAGTAAAGTCCCGACCACAATCTCCGAGTTCTCTGGAGGCGAGTTAAACTTCAGCTACATCTTGAACCCATTCTTATTTTCTGTGAGAAGGAAATCAAACGGTGAGAATCTATTCAACTCCACCTCTGATTAATCATCACCCTACAACTCCATGGTCTTCAAATACCAGTACTCAGAGATGTCAACATCGCTTCCAAAAGACGTGTTGTTGTATGGTCTTGGAGAGAGAATGCAACCACATAGGTAATTCGTAACAGCACCAACACCCTCCGATCTAGGTTCGTGTTTCAGAGTTAGTGGTTATGGTGGTAGAGATTAATGGTGATTATTGGATTTGAGTTTCTGGTCTGGATCTATTTCTACTCTGATTTGAAGTTTCTTCTTCTTTTATCTAATCTACTTCTTCTCTAATCTCCTTCTCTCCAATAATACCTACTCTAGCAACGGGTTCAAATTTCAAATCTAAATGTAGATCTGATTTGGTTTGCTATCTAGAAAGGTTGAGTTTCATATATGAATGTAGGTTTTGGGGTTTGAGTTTTGATGGTTGATATTCAAATCTAGGGTTCATCAATGGTGGTGCTTGAGATTGACGGGAGAAGTCAAGACAAGAAAGAAAGAAATATGTTTTCCAGTAAAAGACTGGTCCTTTTTAATTTTTTAAAATTTAAAATTAATAACAAGTTACATTAATGGTCCTTTAGGTTTTGGATTTTTCCCTAAAGTAGTCCCTATGGTACTTTTTCCCACAAATAGTACCTACGGACGATAAGTTGCACGCGTTTGGTCCTCAAGTTGGATGTCCGTCCATTCCAACATTAAGTTACCCCATGTGACTTGCATATGAGGGTATATATGTCATTTTACCCTAAAGGACCTTTTTAGAACATATATATTAATAGCTATAACCATTAAGGTGGCGGGGTTTAGTTTCAGACGTTGACTTTGACACTCTATGTCTTTCCCCAAGAAAACCTTTTGATCATCCCATCTTCTTCAATTGTGAGTTTTTATCGTCGTTCGGCAACATAGTTCAACTGATTGAAGGGTGTGTTGAGGAAAATGGTGCTCACATTGTGGTCCTTACGTCCACGCTACACCCAACCACCTAATCTACGTAAAGAATATGGTAAGCACAGACCTTGTAATGCTAGGTTTGAAGAAATGTAATTTTGCTTTCCTGCATTGTAACATTTTATTGTTCTTGAATAATCGCATCAGGTTCTATTTCAAGCTTTTTCACATTCAAGATAAATCATGGGGGTTCGTTCACAAATACGGTATCTAGAAGGTCGTACATAGATGGGCTTGTGGATCACTTTGATTTTGTGGACATGGATGTGTTTTCAGTCCATGAGTTAGATGATATGATGACAATTTTAGGGTACAATGATGGAGGTATAATGTTTTACCATTCAATGATCCCAAAGAAATACATGGATAGTGGATTGTTACCCCTTGGCACCGATCAGGAAGTCATTCAGTTGGAAAGGTATGTGCCTAATCATAAGGAAATTAATTTGTACATTGAGCATGAGAATACTAGAGTATTCCCTTACTTTAAGTCCCCATTGAAGGTTCGTATTGAGGAAGTTGAAGGGGACCATTCTCCTGAAATGGATAGGGTTAGAATGAAAAAGAAATCAATTGGGTCATGTAGTAAAAAGTTGGATTTTAATGAGCCCACTGATTTGTCAAAGTTGATTGTACCCTATGAACCTGTTATGTCACAACTAGTGAATTTTTGGGGTTCGTACACAAAACTTTCTCTATGTAACTTGGAATACCACATTAGTAAAGATCCAAACTATAATGTTATTTAAGTCCATACTTTCATACATTGTCAATTAGGTCGAAACCACCTCGTATAAGCCCAAAACCTAACCCAATAAGCTAAGACTACTCAACTTTGGGCCTTAGCCCAAGTTTTATCGGTCCAAACCCCCTATTTGGGTCAAGGCTCCCTTATTGGGACCTAATGGGCCGATAACATTTCCAATTGGTCCTTTGGATCGAAAACCCTCCTTTGTGCTTCCCATTGGGCTGTAAGACCTTTAATGGGAATTGTTGGGCCGCAAATCACTATTGGAACACCCATTGGGCGTAAAGCACTCCAATGGGCCTTGATAGGCCAAAAACCGCTAGTAGGCCCCTATTGGGCCAAAAGTTCTTTTTTGATTTCCATGGGGCAAAAAACCCATACTTGGGTCCTATTTGGGCCGAAACCCCCTTAGTTAGGCCACAACCTTTCCTAGGACATCATTACGCTGAAAACCTACATTTAGTCCCCAATAAAGATCGAAGCCCACTATTCTTTGGGCCAACCTTGGGTCGTGAACCACTAAGGCCAATCATATTTTATAAAAAAAAAAAACAATTTGGGTTATACACATGACACCTCAACATTACATCTCATGTAACAATGAAGTAAACTTACATACAGCTAGGCAATGTGTGATTGTCCAACATGTATCAAAACACACTCTCCTCTCTCCTCTACTCTTATTCGGCCGAACCTCTTTCCCTTCTCCACAACTCATTTTCAAATTGCACTCTCATCTTATTCTCTCTCAAGCTCCATTGTTCTCTCGAGATATTTTGAGTTCTTTCGCATTCTTTCTCTAAAAAATTGTGTGTGTTGGTGTGTTATTCAAAAAAGTCTTCTTCAAGCTTCATAAACTTGGTAAGTTTTTAGTAAACTCCATTGTTTTGTTCCAAGTTCACACTAAAATTCATCCACTTACACTCCCATTTTCGTGTATGTGCTTCTTAGAAACACCCATAACCTTTAGAATCCCTTCAAGAATGCAAGCTAGGCTCAAAATCCTTCTCCTTCTTCATCTACATCTTGAAAAACCCAATGTGAGCTTCATACCCCTTATTTTTAAGTTTTCATTCTTTTGGGGGGATTACAAGTCTAGCTTTGTTTAAAATCCTTGGATTTTTGCATGTATTTTTCTGTATGTATGTTTATGTGCGATGAAATGTTGTTACTTCATGATTAACACTCCAAAAACTCGAGATTACGCTAGGTCTCAAGTGTTGGAACAAGTTATCTTTATGTAGTTCTAATTATGTTGGTTTCATGTCCAAGAATGAAAATAAGTTGCTAAATGAAAATATTATCCGTTAACATGTGCATAAAAATCACAAAATATGTCTAAGAAAATGTTGAAAACATTTTTGGTCATGAAAAATTGAAAAATGGAAAAATATGAGAATTTACACTTCCAATGGTAAATTTTTTAACATATAACTTTTTACCACCAATTCTTGTAAAATTGTTGAAAAATAATAAATTTCAAGGTTTTATGAAACTTGGTGTAAATTGTGACAAGTTTTAGTCACAGCAAGCAAATGGAGTATTTGGTGTTACAAAACACTCAACAAACTTTTGGTATGTTAAAACCCACTAAAACACTTGAATATTTTACAAAAATATAGTTTTATTTAGCAAAATAATCGTAAAAGGTTGTACTATATCAAAAGTTTAAAACTTCGAGTATTGCGTTACTTTTACAACATCTATTGCAAGTTGACAAGCTATTAGTAGTTGTTTATAAATATCACTATAAATAATATACAAAAAACGGTATACAAAGCTGAGTTTTACGACAGGAATATCCGCGTGTCATAATAGTTCGCCATAAAACTTATAAGAATACAACTGTTAATTTGTATGTGAAAAGCTATAAAACGCGTGTCATAAAACTGCAGTCACGAAATTACACTAAGAACATCATATGCATTATCGGTAAAATTCGCGTAAATTTTGTTAAGGCCCTTGTGAGACACCCCTTCATTGTACCTATTTAGTGTACACTGTAAGTCCTGTAGTTATAACCAGATTCTCCTGGAGGGAGAACGGGATATTGTGTATAGATCTATACGGGGTTGACACCTCCATACCTGAGTTGCTCACTATAGCTAGACAGGCCAGTCTAGGGTGACAAATATCTTATTATAAACCGATGCCTGAAGAACATCAAGACAGACACTTTAGTCACATTAGTATGGTTGTAACGACTCACATAGAGAATAACAATATTATTCTAAAGTTACGCTGAATTTATACACTTTACTGGTCTTATAAAATATGAAACTATGTTACGACTACCATGTAAACTAATTTCACCACTCGGGTCTTAGGGTTTTAAGAACACAATTTTTCGTATAACAAAAAATATAGGATTTTTTGGGAACACTCTCTTTATGATTTTCAAACAAGAAGAAAAATAAAATACATGCAATTATACATGATTTGGAACGAGACTCACACACTATTTTTATAGAAAATATTGGATTTTATGGAGTTTTACAAACTATTACAAGGTTTTCTTATATATATGCTTATGAACTCACCAACATTCTATGTTAACGCTTTTCAAATGACTTGTAATCTCAGGAAATCAGTGAGCAGGTGTTCAGCTATGGATTTTTAAATAACTGTTGTATTTTGAAACATCATACATTGTGTTATTTTTGGATGTAATTGTTGGATAAGGTGTCTAAGTCCATAACTATTTCTGGTAAGTACTTGACCCGACCCGACATGGTCCATTTGGGTTGCATGACACCATGCAATTGGATAAACTAAATGAGAGAAATAACACATATGGTTTATTAATATATTATAGGTTCTAATATATTAATAATATTATTTAATTAGTTTTGATCAAGAATTAATTTAGAATTAATTAAGTGATCAAAAGATAACTAATTAGATATATGGGTAGATTAAGTAAATCTTCCATATCTTATATAGTGGACAAAGATGCTCCGTGGATTATCAAGTTGGGTTCCACCCATAAGACGCTCCATGGATGCTCCATGGAGTTAACCCATGGATCAAGAAATGAAGAGTCATGGAACATTAGGGTTTACCTAATGCAACACACTATATAAGCAATGTAACTCTCCCCAAAATCGGCTACACTAAGAAATAAGAGGGCTTGGCCAATTTTGCATTTGTTAGATTATTCTCTCAAGTTTATTCTTTGCATTTGGTGTTGTGTGAAACATTTGAGGCATCACACTTGAGGTGCTAGGCTCACAAGGTTTCAAGGAATACTTTCAACAACAAGGTATGTAGTTCTATCTTTTATACAAAGAAAATTGTACCCCATGTATGCTAGATAGGTTCATAACCTTGGAAAACAACTTTGCATGATTATTAGACAAATTTAGATCCAAGGTTATTAGGGTTGCATGTACACTTAGGAAGTGTTAGAATGCTCAAAACCCATCAGTGGTATTAGAGCTTAGGCTTGTTTGTTTTTTATTTGTGCAAAATTGTTGAAAAAAAGTCGATATTGTGCAATCTGCCTGATGAACTCGCCGAGTCCATGGGGGGACTCACCAAGTTCATGTGTAAATTCGTCCTACTCGCCGACTAGGTTTGTGCACTCGACGAGTAGGAGCCTCAGATTGCAGATTTTCGACTTTGGTTGCTGGAAATGGACTAGAAACATTACCCTAAACTGTTTTGGTACTTGAAAACTTGTTTTAGATGGTGTAATGTTCATGCTAATCCTTTTACAATGACAATTATCAAAAAATACAAAGTTTTAAGTGTAATTTTTGATTCATGAAATTGTTCATATTCATGTTCTTGATCTCATGATATTTAGATGATCATAGGAATTGTTTGTAACCTATGTGGTAGATTAATTCATGATCATTATGTGTTTTAATGGAGTCCATAACTTGTCCTTAATTTATGGAAAACCAAAAGTCACTTTGTTTTTAAAACCATTAAAAGAACACATGAGTTATAAAAATGAAGAGTCTTCATTTTTAATACTCTAATTAACTCATAAGTTACAAGAAATGAAAAGTTTTGAAAGTTTACAAAACTTGCCCTCAAGTTTTGGAACAAGTAAAGTCTTGATTAAAACTTTAGTTCTAACCCTTAGAATTTTAAAAGTTAAAATTCAACCCCTATACTTATAATATTATAAGTTAATAATAATAATAATATATATATATATATATATATATATATATATATATATATATATATATATATATATATATATATATATATATATATATATATATATATATATATCTTACTACTTTATAATATATATATGATAAGAAGACCAAAGGTTTTAAGATTAAAGTCTTAAAAACAAGGAGAAGAATTGTTAGCCATTAGATTTTATTTGAAAGGGTTAGATTAAAAATTGATAATCCCAGTGCCTAAAAACCGACCAATAAAAATCAAACAGTTTTAGTATATAAACCGGTGGTGGATTAGATGTACATCACACTTTTTGAATAACGCTTCCAAAGTCTCCATAGATATCGGGTCTCCACCTCTTGTGTTTGTAAAGAACCTTAATTGCGGCGTTCACAACCATCATCCACCTGCAAAATGGTTGTTGTCTAACTTGCCGCCATTTATCCTCTGTCGCCATCACCATTTGTAGTGATTTGTGTTCACCATCCACACACAAATCCGTTTAAACCTACCAGTACCTTTACTACTATTAAGTTAAGAAGGCGCCCGTTCTTCTCTTTAGCGTTTTTAGATCTTGAAACAAATATGTTTAGTTCCATCAGTTGAAAACCATGAAGCTGATAATCATTCTTCGATATTTTCAGATACAAATACAAGCCTCAAGATTATCCTCATCTTTGGTTTCCAGGGATTCTATTTCAATTTGTATTATCTTGTTTTTTTTTTTTGTTGAAGTTTTTGATATCGTTGTGATTTGATTTTTTTTTTTTTTCTGAAAATTTGATTGTATATTTGTATGTCATGCTGCATGGTGATCGAGTGTTGCTTGGTTTTTATATATTCAGGTAGAAGAAAATG